TTCTGACCACAGGTCTTCTAAATATAGGGCATCAAATTTTTACAAAATGTTGCATCTTTATATTTTTGAACGACCATAACTTTGGTTGTACTTGTTTGATTTGAATGAAATAAACCTTACTGTTTAGGTAATTTCTTAAACATTTGTTTAGAATTGCACCTACTTAAATATATGACCTTGAAATTTGCTTAACTGTGTTCTTAAGCACAAATATTGAAATAGCAAAAAACACGTCACCTTCGATTTGGCTCATTTTCATATATTTTATTGCCTACCATATTCTTAACAACCTGTGAAAAAATTAGAGTGGGCCATTCATAAGTTTTGAAGAAAATTGCACATATGCAAACGTATGTTAGCACGCGCAGTGGAGGGGGAAGAGCGAATTTCGCCCACCCCTCCTGTTTTTCGCCAATATCTCATAAGATTAATGCGAAATTAATTATGGCTACCTGTCAAGAATTGAATTGGACATCTCAACGTGCAAGCAATAAGAAAATCGGTTCACAACTGTTCTAGTAATAGCGGTGTAAAGTGAACATCCTGTCGCCGCAGCGACGCGGCGACTCGGCAGCCGGCGCCGACCGCTACGCGCCGCCTGAATTGTAGACTGTGCCGGGACGGAACGGAACGGTTCCGTCTTTACATCGCGCTCCCTACCGCTGATTACGTTCGATTCGCGTCAAATTTTGTGAGAAGACTAAGAAATGTACAGGCAATCTTATGGTGAAAGAATTTTGAAAATTGGTTGGTAAACAATTGAAATATGAACGTATAAACACAAAATTGTGATTGCTGCGTTTCCCGCATCGGCCGAGCCCGCCTCAGCCGGCGACATGTTACTCTTAGCAGGCCTCTAACTGCCATATTTATTATTGGATTAACTAGAAATTTCCCATACATACTTAAAAATGTATGTTCTTTCGTATAGTGAAGATCAAAAGACGTGAAGATATCGTTGCGTGATAATGTTTTCGTTGAATTTACTTCATGATGCATTTCCACACGGCTCAAAATTCACCGCAAAATACCGTTTGCCTGAGACACTTTTACTATGGAACATGAATGCTTGACTACGATGACTATGCATTTCCATTCTCGCAGAGTTTGGGATATCACTAATCAGCAATCATTCATTTCAGAAAGTGTACACAAGCAAGCATGTCTTGACTCTGTCTTTCAAGGTCACGCGCGGTTGCGTGATGTTGATGCATGAAAACGGCGTTTGCCGCGAAAGTTATGAATGGCCCACTCCAATTTTTTCACAGGTTGGTTAGGAACATTGTGACGGACATAATATGTAAAAATTACCCAAATCGAAGGTGACGTGTTTTTTGCTATTTAAATTTTTCTGTTTTAATTCAAGGTCAAATGCATTTCAAGGTCACTTAAATTTAATTTTATAATTAAAAATCAAAGCCTTATCAATTGCCTATAAGACCCTGTTAATATCATTTTGATACCAGAAAAGGAACCAGAGTTATAGCCATTTAAAAAATTGATGTGTGGCATTTTTCGCTATATTCGATGACCTATATCTCAGCGATACGTTATCAAATTTCGAAAATATTATACGTTACTCAGTTTTGAACCATGCCCAGTCTGCCTACAAATTTTCAGAAAAATCGAAGGGGATGACGGATTTCGGTGTTTGATTTGACGTGGAATGCCCCCTGTGCCCCCCGGACGTGACGTATACCGGGGTTACATGAGCGATCCGTTCCAAATACGCACTACGCTAATGCGCATCAGCTCCCCACAAACGTATCTACGGCACCGGTTACATGAGACTAATTCGTTTTATCTACGTCAAACGGATCTTGTTTGGCTCACCCGGGCTGACTCCTCGACGGCCGGTAATTCGCATCACAAACGGAATAGGATTAGCGTACAGTCATGGCGCAGTTGCGGCATTTACCGGGACGACTGAGCTAAATTTTAAATACTTATATCATTTGATAGGCTCAAAACCATTTAAAATTAACATGAAATCAAAAAATGAAAACAAAGTTTTCTTGTTTTAAGTCAGTTGGCACTGATTCGCCATGCAGCGACAGCAGGGTGGTCAGAAAAAATTATCTATCAAAATATTTCATTCATTTTATTTCACATGCAAAGACTAAACCAAAATACCAACATTTTTTTGCTATTTTCTACGAGGCAGCCAATAAAAAAAATGCTTAGTATTTTGCATTTTGACGCTTCCAGTCAGCAAAAAATAGTTCTTGTGAAATACGGCCCGAATCGTGTGCCTCGGACGTTTCGGTTACATGAGCGATCCGTTCCAAATACGCACTACGCTAATTCGCATCAGCTCCCCAAGAACGCATTCAGTGCACCGACTACATGAGCAAATTCGTATCAGTGACGTCAAACGGATCTAGTTTGGCTCTCGGCCCGATGCGCATTACAAACGGAATAGCATACAAATGTGGCGCACTTCCGTAGCAATAGAGGTGACTAAATTAAAAATTTATTATCTTATGTCTTTTTTGCATTTAATCTGCTCAAAACATTCTCAATTAACTTAACAAAAAAAGTTGAACAAAAAGTTGTCTTGCTTTGACTCATTGGGCAATTGCCTCTCTTGATTCGTCTGTAGTGCTGTCAGAAAAATGTTTCAACTGAAACTATGTGGATATTTACTATTTGGTTTTCACTATATTTATTGTTGAAAACTTATCAAAATACCGACATATTTTTTAAATATTATTTCAAAAGAAGAAAATGAAAAAAATTACCTATTATTTTGCATTTTAATGTTTCTTTTTGCGAAGAAATAGTTCCTGTAATACGTATCTTGGTCCTATTCGCTACTAAGCCTCTTTCCCAGCGGATTTTGTTCGGACCGCCGATTCGTATTAGCAGGTGGATACATGAGTCGGTAGTACGCTCCTGATTCGCATTAGCGGTGAATCCGATCGTGATACGTATTTGCTTTGCTCATGTAACCGCGGATCGGATCGCCGATTCGTACTAGCAGGTGGCTACATGAGTCGGTAATGCGTTCCTAATTCGAATTAGCGGCTAAATACGTATTTACTGTGCTCATGTAACCCCGATAGTAGTGTGCTCGCGCGCGTGCAGGGTCTGTGCGATCGAAAAAGAGCGCTAGCAGCGCGCCACTCGACGCCGCAATTGTCAAAAGCGGCGTGTTAGTATGCTTTATTATGAATGATGTGTGTAAAAGTGAGTTTTTATGTTGTTTATTTGGAGGAAATGGTTGGAATAAATTAAGTTATTTTTATTTCTGTTGGTTGGAGTTTTTATTCAAAAGATTTCGGTCTATACCATTGATATTTACTGAAAATACCTTCGCTTGAATAAATTGCAGATATTTGGCAACTGAAGTGTTAGGTAAGCCTAAATGATATGTAAAAAGGTAAGAGACACCCTGATTATCATTTGAGAAAAGAAAAAATATGAATTTTCCTTATGAAACTCGCTCAATATGCGACTCCGCGGTTTATGCCCCGAGGGTGTCCGAGGGTTCCCGTTAGTTTGTCGTTGGCGCTCGGCTCCAGTGCTGCCAGATGGGGAAGGCTGTAATCCTCCAGATCAGTTACAAAAATCCTCCAGATTCCTCCAAATCCTATTGGTAGATATAGAAAGGCGGTCTTGGACGCTGCGGGGGGGCTATACCTAACCCCAAAAGTTTCACCAAATTCTAAAAACTCATCGGATTTCGAATCCTTTCGCACTGCTGTGCAGTTTCAAAGATACTTTTTTTAAAAAAAGTTAAGTTTTCGTTTTATACTAAAAAAAACACAAAAATTTTCGTCGATTTCGGGCGCTGCAGGGGGGCCGGGGGCATTTGCCCCAAATGTCCCCCTTAGATCCGCCAGTAGTTTGGTACCCTCGTAGATATAGCTACAGACTGAGACATTCTGCAGTCTCACGGTGATAAAGGACGTGATATATCCTAACGGGTAGGGTGACGCTAGGCAGGAAAATGCCTTTTTAGTCTTGAATGTGTTATATTTTTCCATGAAATTGAATATAATAATCGGGCGACAAATCCTCCAGATTTTCCTCCAGAATCAAAAATCCTCCAAAAGCGAAATTTGTCCGCAAATAGAGTTCAAAATCCTCCAGATTTGCGGAAATCCTCCAAATCTGGCAGCACTGCTCGGCTCGCGCGCGAGCCGACGTCACCGCCTGTGACGTCGGCTCGCGAAATACGTCATACCCTGCACACAAAATAGCCGGCTGCCGAACAGCGCTCCGGTCAGAAATGTGTGATTGCGGCGCAAATGCCGCAATATGAGCGATTCAAGGTTGAGGTTTTGAATTGGACAGGCGAGTACTACTTTGCTGCTAAAAACTATCATATAGCTGATATATACTGTTAACCCTGTTAACGTTTGTTATTTCACAATAACATGTCAGAATGCTTAGTTCGTGTCTAACAACCTCATGCACATAACATATTAATCGACTGATAAGTGGCAGGAGGAACCATTTTTAGTTACCCCTCTTCGATGCCTCTTCGGTACACCTAGGACGGATTAAAAAGCAGCAGACGAGCGGTAAACGGTGGTAGGGCCATCAACATCACTCGAAAGATAGCCAAAATCGCAATTTATTGAGAGTAGCTAGGTATTACTGAGTGAGATGAGATGCCTGCACCGTCAATAACAACCACTGTTCAAGCCCGCTTCCAAATGAAGTGGATCCCAGGTAAGGTCCGTCCGCTATGTCTAAGGATCGTTCGACCCAGGGTATATAGAACAACGTCCGACCATCAACAGGACCACCCGATGGAATTCGGACCGTCATACGGTCGAGACATCTCTCTCTAACCGTTCGTGCGATCCGTACACCAGGAACGTGGCCTCGTCCCTTATCCGTACGGCGTACCATACCTTGACAGTGCAGTTTCATGTATCGGGCAGCATCGGCTCTCCCTTCCATACTAATTACTAATTACTACCAGCATTTAGCCACATGGCATTTGCAAATCCATCTTGATCGTAGGAAAGTGTACGTAAAAACGACCATTATCGCAAACGAGACACATTTATTATTTACATTTCATACGGTGTAACATAATAAAACAAATCACGATACCGGTAAAAGCACGAGCTACGTCCGAACACTGTCATACCTACCCGTTTGTAGCGTCATACCAACAGAGCCGCACACCCTGCACTTCGTCAACACTCCCTCATTCAGTCCGACAGCACCCACCGTCTGACCCCCCCCCCCCCCGGCACCAGACGCGTCCCGGCACTCAGCGCGGACCGGCACTCAGCACTCAGCGCGCCTCGACCGGGCACGAGTTGAGCAGCACATTGGTAAGCTGCGTCATGTCCGTCCAGTCGCGGCGCCGCTTGTTGATCTCAATGTTGCGGATACAGCCCCTGAAGTTATCCTGCTGCAACAGAATCGATTTTACCGGCCCGCTGGAGTCTGAAAGAGACAATGGGAAATGTTAGACGGGAAAAAGAAGCTGAAATATACCGGGTATTCAAACCGTAACCATATCAATGTAACTGGAACAGCAACATGTTGGGTGAGACTTACACGGCAGTCCGCCGATGTAGAGCGGGAACCGGCCGGTCAGTATTCGTCCCGAGTCCTTTTTGACGCCGTACGTCTCTGGGTACTTGTCCACACGTAGACGGGCCTGGGGCACAGCCACAGACTGAGTCGTGTGCTAACTGAACGATGCGTGCTAACGGAGCTATATAATAGAAGTGTTGAAGGTGAAACCTTATGAACCATCAATGAGCGCTAACAACTCCGTGTTATCAACAATCAGTCAGTTGGACAGTCTCATTACTATACACTTTCGCCATTTATTACGGGAAACATCAGGTTATCAATCATCCTCTAGCTTTTCATTTCATTCGTCATTAACATCCGGTATTAGAGACGGCAAATAACGACATTACATATGTACGTCGCGTACGTGTAAAATATGTAAAATATGTACGTGGTAACCGGCCGTGAGGTGAGTGGAGCTGTGATTCTGCCGCCCGGTACCTGGTTCTGGACGTAGTAGGCCTTCACCGTGTGCCAGCGGTTGTCGCACATGGCGAACCGGGTAGCGAACTTCATGCGGGCCCTGATGGGCTCCTTGCTTCCGTTCTGGACTGAGAACACCACCTGAGCACGGGCGGCGAATGGGGGGTGTTAAAATAACAGGCCGAATGTCCAACACGACCACAACTGAGGTCAGGTCAACAGATACACTCAGAACCTTTCAAACGCAAATTTTTATCTGCATAACACCAGATAAACATTAAAACGACAATCATGTAAAACAAACAAGCCCGATTTTCCGAAGTAGATGAATAGCGTTCACTTTTCTAACTCCTATTCCAGGGACTGTGGTGTGTGATATAACGGAGCTGACAGTCGCAGCGCCCACCTCTCCGTCGTGCAGCTCCAGTGCCAGCGCCGGCCGGGCGTCCGGGCCGCTGACGCTGATCAGCACCCCGTCTAGCGCTGTGGTCCGGAAGTGCAGCGCCAGACTGACCTCGTCACCCAGCTGGAAACTGTCGTCTGGCGAGCGGACAGGCAGCAAATCACTACTGACTCATTGGGTTACCCTGCCTTTTCTGACTTCGTTATTGAGCTTCGATATGGTGGGAATTGCGCGTAAAAGAACATAGTGTAGACGTTAAGTAAGCACCATATGTAATCATAAATCACAGATAGCTGAGGCTGGGACGAGGCCAGTCAGTTTAATCACACCCAGCCACGCCATAATACAACGTACCGTATGTGGCGAAGGCGTCGCCGCCAAAGAAGGTGCCCTGCTCAACATGGGCGTTACACTGTGCCACTTTGAGCGAGGTATTTTGTCGCAGCGTCAGGTTGTAGACGCGTTGGCGCACTGCCAGCTGCCGGATGCAGCCCTTGAAGCTCTCCGTTCGCTGGGGAACAAAGCAATGGATGTCAGGGATATCAGCTCAGCGACGTAGCTGCTCAGATAATCTAGAGCCGAACTTTTCAGGCTTAGCAGCCGATCAATATAGTTCTGTTTCAGCGAATATAAAGTGAGAATCCTTTAAAATTATATCATCTTTCTGCCGTTTCAGGCATAACGAATCCTCTTTAATTGAAAGTCCTCAGCAACGTGTAAAAAAATTCAACCTTATGGATAATAATTTAGGTGTCATAGTAACGGTGCTGCACACTAGATTTAAAGCGCAACAACCAAAAGCTCGTGAGCTAGCACATGGTCGGCCGGCCCATAAACCCGGGAATGGGGGGGGGGCAGCGGGGGCGCTTGCCCCCCCCCCCAACATTGGAACCGAGGGGGCGCCGCCCCCCTCAACATTGAGGCAGCAAGAAAGGCTCTATCCTCCCTTTTCCGGACTTATTTCCTTCTTGTTTCCTTTATACATGTAAGCATCGACACACGGCATTTTCCTAGCCATCTGAATGGTTTCTGCTGATACAGTATCGATTTGACGACATCTGCTATTGTCATCCCGTTTTGGTTTGGGCCTGACCTTGGCCATAAGTTTGGCAGGCCAGATTTTATACTAGACCATTTTGAGTCAACTTTGAGAAATGCGTAACGTACAACGGTGGTGAAATCGTTGCTTTAGGTATAACACAGTTTACCCGCTCCGGGCGCGAGGGAGGGATGTGGGGCAATGAGTGCACTGACTTGGCGCCCTCGGAAGTCCGGTATGGGATTAAACCTCAGCTGTGGTGCCTTCGGTTATCGGTAGCACCCTCAGAATCACCGGCGTAGGGCCCTCAGAGCCGCCGGTAAGGGGCCTTTAGACTTTAGAGGCACTGGTGTGGGGCCGTCATGCAGGTGCCGGTGTGGGCGCTCAGAGGACCGTGCTAGTGTGATTCTCTTAGAGGCGCCGGTGAAGGTCATTACAGGCGTTGCTGTGGGCCCTCATAGACGCTGGTGCGGAGCCGTTACAGACGGGTGTGGGGCCTTTGAAGCTGCTGATACGAACCCTCTACAAGCCGGCAGGGGGTCTCAGTGACCGGCAAGGGGCCCTTAGGCCGGCAGAAGAAGTCCTGTGGGGTCCTTAGAGACCGGTATGGTACTGTCAGACGCCGGTGGGGCCCTCAGAGTCACCGGTGTGGGGCCCTCAAAAGTCACCAGTGGGTGGCCTTTAGATGCGCAGGTGTTGGTTCATGGTTGGGTCCTCAGAGCCGCCGATATAGGGCTTTAATAGGCACTGGTGTAGGCCTTCAGAGTTGGAGTGTGAAACCCTCAGAGACACCGGTGTGGGCCCTCATAGGCGCCGATGAGGGCCCGACAGTTGCCGTTATGGGGCCCTCAGAAAAATAAGTGTGGGACCATCACAGGCGGGAAATGGAAATGACTATTTAGGGCCCATGAGGTGCTCTAACGAGCCCCATGGGCCCTTCTGAGTCGAAACATAGCCATCGTTATCCCTCAGCGGTCAAATGGCGCCGCAGGGCCCCTCGGACCCGAGGGTCCCTTTGAACCCGATGGGGGGGGGGGGGGTACGTGTCCCATTAGGCCCCTATAGCTACGCCACTGTTTCATATGCATCATGTCGGGTATTTTAGGCTGCCCCCCCCCCCCCCCAACTTGAAAATCGTTCCCGAGCCCCCTGTCGGCCGCCGTCCGCTGTACTTACTAGCGTGGTGAGCCGCTCGTTGCCGAGGCTCTGCTGGTCCCCGTACGAGCTCTGCGGCAGACCGCCCACGTACAGACCATTGCCGGCCGGCAGCCGGCCCAGACCGCGCGCAGAGGTCTCCGGGCCGCCGTCCACGGCGAGTGAGTAGCGCCGGCCGCGCTTCGTCAGCGTCACCTGGGAGCCGGCGCGGCGTCACAATACGGATACAACTCAGCCGACTGTCTTCTGTCAGTGACACTGCCACAGCACAACACAGTGTCAGTTTTCCCGGCTCCTCCGGCAGACAGCAAAGCAACTCACTATCCTCACTATACCCACCCGTTTCCATGTGCCGTCGTTCAGATGACCGCCCGCAGTCAGCTCCATTGTCTTAGCTCGGCGAGTGGCGTTAAAAATCACCGCTCCGTTTCGCAACATAAGCACGAAGTGGGCCTGTCGCTTCCTCCGCTGCGAAACAACGGCAGTAGAACGGTAAATGGGAGAAAACCGTGATCCAGGAAATAAGACGAAAGTAATTAAGAGCCTGATTTACGCTCAGCGGATGCCTGATTGCTGGTTCATTCCTCTACGTTGGTGCGAAATGGCACTATGCAGTACTAGCAGTACAAGTTAACAAGTTACGAGCATTTACCATCAGTTAGGGAATTCAAGCCAAGTAAAATGCTTACCTCATTGTATAACAGAAGACCGTTAGGGTAAAATGTTCTGAAGCTCAATGACACGTTAAAGTTCTTCCTCTGCAGCTCCTTCTTACTGACTTGCTGAAATACGTGACTGTGAGGGCCGTCCCCGAATTTCAGGGCTCTGCAAAAGAGGGATAACGTGAGAAGAAGTAAGAACGATCAGCTACACCAGGTGTTTCAGATCGGTTGGTCATTATTGTGGGTGCTGAACAAACTCACGGGACGAGCGATATGCGACTGCCGCCGTGCCATCTATCCTTCCGAGCTGGGCCCCCAGCCTTCGGTTGGTGAAGCAGACTGAAGACATGACGCCAGCAGAGCGTTGGCCGCCGGGGCCCGTTTAAAATGGCGACGGCGGGTTTGGGACGGCACTGCTCGTGACGGCTCACCTGTCGAATCCAGGGTGACCTGCCTGAGCTGGTGACAGATGGTGACGGCTCACCTGTCCTCCAGGGTGACCTGTCTGAGCTGGTGATAGTTGGTATGGTGACAGATGGTGACGGCTCACCTGTCCGCCAGGGTGACCTGTCTGAGCTGGTGATAGTTGATACTTGATATGGTGACAGATGGTGACGGCTCACCTGTCCGCCAGGGTGACCTGTCTGGGCTGGTGACAGCGGTCAGGAGCCGGCTCCGTGGCCATCTGGTCGGTGGGGGTGCTGCGCCGGCGGCCGTCACTGCAGCGGCCGATCTTGGCCCGCTCGTAGCGCAGCGGGCTATCGAATACCAGCAGTCTGCACAGCATACAACACAGACTGCTGAGATAGCTGCAACTGACACGCGGTATATTCACAACTATATGTCATGGAAAATATTCAAGGCGCATTGTTAAAGCTGACGGCAGCATAAGCCGTCTAGGACCGCGGTGTGCGCCGTATCTATCAGTCGGATGGTGAATTGGTGACGCTCACATGTTAGTAGGTTTTGCCTTACCCACCTGTCTCCGAGTATGACGTCAGTGAGGCAGCCTCGGAAGGCGGGCGGCCCGCCCAGCTGCGGGCCCAGATCCGCGGGCACCCCTCCGAGGAAGAGGCCGCCGCGCGCCGGCACCCGGACACCGGAGGAGCCCGGTACGAGCTGACCGGAGCCCACCGACTGGTCACCGACCAGCAGCTCTATCCTGGGGTGTGTGGGGGAGGGGGGGGGGGGTGATATACCAGCTGACCGGAGCCCACCGACTGGTCACCCACCAGCAGCTCTATCCTGGGGTGTGTGTGTGTGTGTGGGGAGGGGGGGGGGTATGTGTGTCAGGGGTGATATACCAGCTGACCGGAGCCCACCGACTGGTCACCCACCAGCAGCTCTATCCTGGGGTGTGTGGGAAGGGGGGGGGTATGTGTGTCAGGGGTAATATACCAGCTGACCGGAGCCCACCGACTGGTCACCCACCAGCAGCTCTATCCTGGGGTGTGTGGGAAGGGGGGGGGTATGTGTGTCAGGGGTAATATACCAGCTGACCGGAGCCCACCGACTGGTCAGTGGTCACCCACCAGCAGCTCTATCCTGGGGTCCCAGTAAACATGCCGACGTCGGCCCGACGTCGGGCCGAGGCTCGGCCCGACGTCGGCCCAACGTCGGTTCAACCTCGGCCCGACATCGGCTGGACGTCGGATATGCCCGCATGTTCCGACGTCCAGCCGAAGTCCAGCCAACGTCGAGCCGACGTCGGGCCGAGATCGTTTGCCGAGGTTGACGAGATCGTTTGTCGTTGGACCGACGGGGCCGACGTCGGCATGTTTATTGGGACAACGCGCCAAAAAAATCAACCGGCGGCGGGATTCGAGCCCCCCAGTCGCCGACGTCGGCATGTTTACTGGGACAACACGCCAAAAGCATCAGCCGGTGATGGGATTCGAACCCCTTGTCATTCGAACGCGAGGTTAGTGCGCTAACCACTACACCACGCAGCCAGCTAACGAACTTAGTTTGTTTTGTTGGGTTATGCCCTTTCGGTCTGACAAGACCATTTCAGAGCCGGAAGGATCATAGGATGGAGACATTGATCTTCTTGGCGAGCACCCTGGGTCCAGTTCATATAGAGTCCCTGGTCCCATTGCTGTTACGTGACACTTATTGGAAAGGGCGACCCCACAATGGATTCATATAGCCACTCTTACACACCTGCACCAACGTTTCCCAAAGTGTTCCTTTGATAAGCGGCACTTTGGCAAAGTGACACTTGCCGACTGGCCTTTCTATATGAACTGGGCCCGGCCCTGGTGAGTTGCCGGGGCTGAGCCTGACCAAAGGATTGTGAGAAATTTGGTTTCCAGCTGCGTTGGACTGCGAAACTTTCGGAGCACTCCGAATTCCTCGGATAGACGGTGCCTGGGATAGACGGTGCAAGGCTACCTGACAGCTGACTTTTAATGACAAGCAGACGCCAGTGGTGAGCCTGTTCTGTCTCTGTCTGTCTTTCCCTACCTCCCCCCCTCTCTCTCTCTCTCTCTCTCTCTCTCTCTCTCTCTCTCTCTCTATCTCTCTCTTTCTTTCTTTCTCTCTCTCTCTCTCTCTCTCTCTCTCTCTCTCTCTCTCTCTCTCTCTCTCTCTCTCTCTCTCTCTCTCTCTCTCTCTCTCTCTCTCTCTCTCTCTCCTCCCTCCCCATGCATACATTATGGTGCGCGCGGCTCGGGACAGCCGACGCCCGGCAGGCTCTGCTCTGAAGGACGCCGTGTCCTAAATATGAGGCTATTATGTATGCGTGCCAGCGCGGCGACGCCATGAATGCTTTTAGTGCGTTTGTCGTAACCTTGTGGAACAAATAATGATTTAACGTTATCTTTGGAGCGATTTTAGACTTAATTCCTACATACTTCTAAAAGTACCGCAGCTTGCAATAAATTTGGTAGAATTATGAGACGTGGGGATCGGGGAAGGGTGACTTTACTCCTATTCACAGTACTAGCACAGGCGCACGGAGCCCTGCATTCTGCAATGACATGCAGGCAATGAACGTTGGAGTCGAGCCGTGACGCTCGAACCAATGGGCGACCAGCCGGAGATGCGCTCAGGTTTTGCTCTTCACCCTGGAAGGAGATGGACGGTGCAATGGTGGTCCGTCATCGATTACGACCAGTCCGGATCTACATATGTACATATGCTGGGTGCATCAGCTCAGGCGTCGGGTGTGGCAATGATTAAGCGCCACCTTCCAACGGTAACATCGTCTAATGCAATCATCTCTCAACTTCTGTCAGTTTCGTCCATGACATCCAGTCAGGTGATAAAAGAGCAGTTGACAGTATCAACGGACAGGTGGTAACTGGTAAACCTTTCGCGAGTCGCGATGGAGGCGCGACAGGGGTGACATATCGTGCATATCTTGCGATGGAGACGTAACAGTGACGGGATACCGGGCAGTGTTGCCAATCGGGTCTAGCAAGACCTGGTGGAAATGTGAAGGCAAAAGGTAAAAGGTCGTCAATCTTTACGGCGTTGGTAAATATATATAGGTAAAACGGTGTGATAGTGATTAGATATTAGATAGACTTTTTAACGAGTTCTACGAGCGGTTTTAGGAATATCTATAACTGGAATGAATGACATGTTATCTACGAAAGCGTAACATGGCTGAAGGTGGTAGTTGATCGGCGAACTAATCTGTTCTCCATTCCCTATGTATGTAGTGTGGAAAACTTCGTGACCGGCCGTCCTCACATCGCCACTCCGAGCAGCGGGGCCGCCCGGACTCGGAGAGCGCGGCCAAGGTTGCGTCGGCCTGACGGCAACACCGGAGGCATAGACACGGCACGACGGAGCTGCACCTCTGGACCAGTCGACCACCGAAGACAGCGCGAACCAAGGCCAAGAGAACACGGCGGCCGGACGACGGTGCCCGAGGCAGGAGTGTGCCGCCCGGCCCGAGCGGTGGGGCGTGTGACGTCACGAGGCGCGCCCGGGGTGGGGACTGCGTCGGGGCTGGGCTGCTAAGAGCCTGAGGCTACCCGGCCCCTGGTCCACTCGTCGACGACAAGATGGCGGTGCCGTGTAGCTCCTCCTCCCGACGGAGGACTGGGGAGGAGGCGAGGTTGGCCGTGACCGAGTCGTATAAAAAGCGTGTGTTCGGCAGTTCGGGGCTTCACTTCCTTTCACTTGGGAGCTATTCTCGTGGGAGCTCTCGCGCATTCGTGGTGGTGACGCCGCTCGCGGCTGACGTCTCGACACTTCTCTCACAATGTAAGTACCTGGGGCCTATCTTCCACCCAGTCGGAGGTCTCTGACTGAAATCTTGCACTGCCCTAGTCGCGCCCCTGGCCAGCTGGCCGGCGGAGCGAGAGGGTTTGAGCCTGACTTCGGATCAAGTCTCGGCTGAGGTCGGAGATATGTCTCAGGCACAGACACTCACATATACACACACCGGCGTAGGAAACAACACTTTAGGATTTGGCCGCGGTACTGTGAACTGGGTACTGTGAACTGTGAACTGTGAACTGTGACAAGAGCGACAGGTTGGTTTACATGTCACTGTGAGTCGTGACTGTGAGACACGGTCTTTGGGACTTGACTCATTCCATTTCGGCTCTTCCGCTTGACATTTGGCTACTATATGAGTCAGTCCCACCCCTTTGGCAATATCGAATCGGTGTTATGATTTGGCTGGGTCATCGTTTCGGTTTTTTTGTTTCGGCACTTTGGCTATATTTACTTTAGCAGTGCACGGTTACCGTGACATTGCTCGTTTTCTGGCTCTTTTTGTTTGAATTGTTCGCTTTTATTTATTTCGGCCTTTTCAATTACAATACATAATTAATATGTATACCTTCTACGTTCTTTCTCGAGGTTGGAAATGATTGTGGAAACGCTGGCAATATGATGATTCGGACACGAACGGGTTTGTGGGACACATGGTTTTTGGTCGATCAGAATACCCCTAGACAACGGCTAAAGGATTGTTGAGTGTTAAGACGATACCCCTAGACAACGATGAGTAGGATTGTGCAGATGACACAGATTAGAATACCCCTAGACACACGAGGAATATTAGCAGAAGCTACCACAACAGCCAGTAGGCGGGCCTGAATCCATCCTTACACCCATCCTTTACCCACTCTACATCCTCATCCTTCTCCCAGTCATCCTTATCCTTGTCCCCATCCCAAACACTACTTATAAATTCACACTGGTGGCTCTGGTCCGGGATTTGATCTTAATCAGTTCGATTAAGAGACCTGGAGATGCCCCTACTGGCTTTTGCTTGTTTAATAACCTTGTTTATTATTTTGTTTATAATGGTCATTGTTTCCGGCTCCGAACTGTAATCACATTCAGTCTGGGCTCGGCCATCAGTGAAAGTGATTGAGGACGGTAGGTGCAAAACACGCACAAACAAATTCTGAGGGTCGGTTAGTGTTCACAGTACCGCGAGCCTGAGGTTAAGTTTGAAATTGAAAGTTACGGATACGGAATGGACACGATCATTACATGCACAGACAACGGGACTGGGAAGGTGCGCGGAGGGCGTTGACCTCTTCGCACGGCAAGGGTTACAAACACCTGTAACCATGAGTTATTCGGTGCCTTCATTACCAGAAGGTATTCTTCGGTAATGGTGCAAATTTACATGTTGATCGGCTCGATCACGAAGCTTGGATGTGTTCCTGCGTCAGCATGCAGTTAGGAGGTTGTGGGTGCCGGGGGTTGCATCTTGATCTGCTCGTTCAAGAGACCCGGGCGTGGTCCTGTGCCGACAGGTTGTGAGAAAGTTGTGTGCGTGCTGAGATTTGCATCTCGATTTGCTTGAGCTAGAGATCTGGAGGTGTTCCGGATTCGGAATGATGTTAGGAAGTTGTGTGGTTGGCTTCTGATTGGGTTATAATTCATTATAACGCAATTTCTATTAGGTTTGACGTTACTCAGCTGGATTTTGCTCCGCCTTCAAATGCTATTGCCTATTGTAACCGGCATGGTCATTTTTCATGACATTTTATGACATTGTGGCGTTCGTATTTGGGAAATTTTTCGGCTAATTTTGCGGTTGTATGTCTTCCATGACATCTGGAGAATTAAGCTCGGCTAACGTCGGTTTAATTGGTTTCTTACGGAATTTCGAACATAGGATCCATCCGATAATTTCCAAGTGACTTTATTCTGACTTACGCTTACAGCAGCTAGTATCACCTG